TATGATTATTACCTTGAAAGCTCCAAGCAGCAAAAAGACAACACCAGTGAGTACCGAACTTAATGCAAACGAAAATACCCTTTCATAAAACCTAAGGAATTCTTGTTGACATTTAAAATAAAAAATTTCCTTAGCTTTAGTATTGGTCGGTCACTAACCGTAATAGGTATAGAAACGATACCAAGGAGCATTCCCTTCAGGCATTTTGAATACCCAACCATCTTCTCTCAAATTATTCCAATCCAATCCGAAGATGTAGACTACAAGGTAAAACATAAGGGGGACGATCATGAAGTAGAATGGCACGACAAACGCATGGTGAACTTTGTGTTGTATTGATCTCAAAATCAACGCCAAAATCAATGCCGAACTCCACAAGCTAAGGGTATGAAGGTCGAGGAAAAGTGTACGAAACATTTCATAGCTAAAAGTCAAGTTGCTGTCAAGACGGGCGGAAACCTCGATAGCGGTCGCGACCAAAAACCATCCAACTCCGCCTTGATAAATGATCCATTCGGTTGATTAATCAGAGAAGTGATGATGATGGATGAAAACACTTCAATGGAAGATCAATGTTTACTTACCGATACATCCCACAAGAATATGACGCGGAAAGAATTCAATCAAAGATCCAAGCTTTTTTATTGAAGGTGAATTATTTGTATTATTATCTGATTCTTAAAAGATCAGATCATAATGCTAATATAATATGATTATTACCTTGAAAGCTCCAAGCAGCAAAAAGACAACACCAGTGAGTACCGAACTTAATGCAAACGAAAATATGGTCGTGGCGATGATGGCTTGTTTATCTTCGCCAATTTCATTTACTATAATTTCTGCCCTATGAAAAAATTTACGTTTATCAAAATGCATATGTTTTTCCAACTTGAGAATCAAATAATTATGCGCACAAACAATTACTCACATTATATGCAAGAAAGGAACCACTAAAATCATACGAGACAAACATACATATTCTTAATCTTTTATCGGATAATAAATAATGCGAAAGATAAGGAAGTGTGATTTTAACGAACCTTCTATCATCATGCTACCGTTTCCACCCCCAAATATACTAAAACCGCCGGAGTATACAACTTGCGAGACAATGCAACTGCAAGACGATGCATTATAACGTTGCCAAGTGTGAAAAACGAGCATCATCAGATGAGAATGATAATTTTATAAAGCTTAAGTTGCAGGCATAAAAACTTTTAACCCACCTAACGAAAAACATGGATATTCCATCCGGCCCCAGATCAGCGAATATTGGATTGTTTATGGGAAATGTGATCAAACCTGATCGAACGGACATTAAAAATGAGTAATTGAGCGTGGATAATGTCCCACTTTGTCATTATTTAGATGAATTCTCACCGTACGATATAGCGTCTAGTAAGTTTAACAATAATCCGAGGATAACAGCGGGTATGTATGATATTGGATTCAAGATAAAAATTTGGAAAAAGTTCTTGGGCGTGATTTGTATTCTTGGCCTTGACCATTCTTCTCTACCGTGATGTGGTATAAGTGAATGATCACCAAAACAAGGTAGCCATCCCCAATCACTTTCTTCGATAAGAGCGAGATCATCGACAGGATCTCTACTTCCATAACTGTTAACACGATTCTCAGGCAATAATGGCCTGGACTCTTCTTTGCGTTTGCGATTCGAATTATCATCATCATTGGTCCTTATTTGCGGGAAACTCGCATTAATTGTAGCTTGTGGAGTCGGTGGTTGTATCTGAAGGTCAGGTGGGGAGGGAGTTTTAGATTTCCGGAGAAGTAATGTCAAGTTACTTTGAGCGGCTGCCGATGAATCGACAGGCGAGTCATTTTTCTTGTCATCATCGTCCGATGAAGGTCCAAAGCCACTGAGAGCCAAAGACTGATTTCGAATATTAATAGGGGAGACAGAATATGGTGGCGTCCCTATTCGGATTTTATATTTAAATATTGTGCAACACCGTAGAATTGGTTAATTCAAATTCCGAATGATGAAATCTGACGAAATCATCGTCGTAAATATGACGGTTGTCCGCCAAAAAAAATTGAAGATTGTAGCGAGAATATGAAAATTTTCGAAATCTAAAGAATAAACCAAATCACGTGCTCATAGAACGGCGATAAAATAAGATCTCGTAGCACAAACCGCATAATTAATCCGACTTCGAAGATCCCCTCTGTTGAATGCCAAACGAAAGGCATGAAGAGATCGCGACTACGTGAAAATGAGAAAACAAGAGATATTACACACTTACCAATCTCTCGATAACTCTGAGAGCCGCTAAAGTAGGAACGAGGCGCGAAACTGTAACTGGGGCTTTTTGTTATGGAAGTAAATTGCAGATTTTGAATTGCGCTACGGTTCGAGCCGAAAGAAGGCCTGGTTCGGGGGGAAGGGCTAACAGGGAAATTGGTTATGGGAAGTTCCCCTTCCTGGTTTCCCTCCATACTTATATTGGCTGTTTTAACTAAGAAAA